GACGGAGACTGTCTCTGATCTGACCGGCGGCGTCTTCTGATCCGCCAACCCCGAGGGATGAAGTATCAGAAGACGCAGGAGATAAAACAGTGGATATCGCTCTAGAAGCTGACGCCTTCATATGATAAAACCCTCCCAATTGCGGGGAGCCAAAGGGACTAATGAGTACCTAAGCGTAAAAGAACGCTGCGAATGTTGCAGGGCCTGAAAAACGTTAAGCTGAAACTAAATGATTTGCCTCGACGCCAAACAAAAAAGCTGTCAGTCGCCGCCACTTGCCCTATCGGCACCGATTGATATCGTGTCGCGCAGTAAACTGTTGATCGCTGATATAAGACCGTGATAGATCGTGTCACGACTCAACTCAACCTTTCCACTCTGCACAAGAGGAAAATAGTCCAACCAAGCCTTCGATAAGACCACGAGGTTGCAAGCCAATAGTGAAGCCCAGCGCCTGTCCTGAGAGGCATGAGAGCAGCGTTCAGCCTGGTTCGGCCATGGCCGCAGCTGGTAAAAAGTCAAACCAGGAAACACATGCGATCAAGCCAAGCGAAAACACTGCGTCGGCGCACGTCATGAACAAGCATCAATCCATTGTCTGTAGCGTCAGTGTATATTCGCATGCGTCACTCCGGTGATGCCTGTCTAAGCACGCGCTGCGTGTCTGCGGTGCGATGCTGTGATGCCTCGTCCCGTCTGCTGGTGTCAGGCTGTCGCATCCAGTCTGATTCACTCGCCGCCGCAGCCCGCCTGGTCGCGTGAGGCGACTGCTCCCATAGCGTCACGCTCGGACAGAGACAGACAGTCAGCAGATTACTGACGCACTGACGCAGGTACCGACGCGGATTACTGACGCCGCGCAGGTTAGCGACACGGGTTACTGACGCAGGTTAGCGACACGGGTCATCGACACGGGTTAGGGTGCAGGTTAGTGACACGGGTTATCGACACGGATTACTGACGCAGGTTATCGATATCGACACAGGTTAGCGACACGGGTTATCGACACGGGTTTGCGACAAGGGTTACCGACACGGGTTACCGACACGGGTTAGCGACACGGATTGGTGACACGATTTATAAACACAAAGGCCTATCGACACGAGTTTCCAGCGCGGGACACTGGTTAGAGACACATTAGAGACGCACGATGGATACCCCGGTGGCCGGTGAGCAACCGTGTAGGTGACACGGGTTGTGCACGCGGCACAGACTAGCGACACGGACCACCAACACGGGTTACCGACACCATTTACAGACACGGGCTACTGATATGAGCACCTGACGCGGGTTTTCATGAGCGAAACCGAATTTCCATAGAAACGTAAAGCCGCTTTTATCTGTGAAAGGAAACATCCTGTAACGCGGTCAGATGCTTTGATTGTGACAGAAAAATGGGACGGTTGACCTGTTGCAGCACCAGCTTTCCACTTCAACGGATCACTGTCCCTGTCAACCCGGCTTCATAAGCCAGCGGCCGATGAGTGGTGCAACACCTCACGTGACGAGTACGTTCACCACTGTCCACTACACTCAGCATATGATACTGCATGGCTTATCAGCTTCCTTGAGTTGAATATGCACTCATTTTCACATACCGACTACACCTACATCCGTAACTCAATTACAGATGAATATGTTCAATCGATCAATTGAATTCGATCAACTCGAATTCAGTCAAAAAATTCATTTAGTTGAGAAAAAAATGAGTGAAGTCCAGCTGCGTCATCTTGTAGCTACGAGCTCAGGTGCCTGATGAAACAGTTGTCACAAGTTATTCCTGTCCTCAGTTCCACTCCGTTTGATGGCGATAGGTCGGATCACGCTCTCCTCCCCTCCCCTCCCCCATCACTCTTCCCCTCTCCCCTGACCAGGTGACTGGGTCGCCAGGTGGGGCGGACCACTCTCACCCCACGAGGTTCAATGAACCGTGACGGCAGGTCCAAAGGGTTCAATGCGCCAAATAGCACCCCGGGGGCTGGTTTGATCTCATTCATAACGAACGAAATAGAGCAGGACAGACGGAGCGGGATAGCAACGGGGAAATACCTATACATACGGAGCGAAAGAGTGAAATACGGAGTGATAAGCACGGCACCAAGCCGAACGGACAGACATAAAAGAACAAGTGTGAGCGGGTCCGGGCGTGAACAGACATGAAACGGCAAGATGGAATATATTCGAGCCTGATATAACGGATATAAAAACAAAACGGGACGAGATAGAGAACTGATCACAGACCTTTCTAAGCATCGGTATAACAGAGATCTAAGTGATATCAGTAGATACGGATGAAACAGGCAAAAACAGCACAAAAGGGAATAATACATCAAAGACATATATTCTGCCTTGTGTTTTAGGGTCAGGGGAAGTAATCAAATGCTTGCCGCACGTACGTCGCCAGGATGGCGCTTAAACCTGAAAACGACGCCTTCTTTCGCTCTGACCACTGGTAACGACCTTGGAAATTCCAGCTGATGTATAGGAATGTGGACGTCGTGTCTGTATTGTTATGTCGAGCTTTCGCACGCATTGTGTGAGTACTGTTGGTAGTGCCTGGAAGGGCTCACCAATAAAACACGCACTCACCTATGAAGCATCGTTCGCTTGTTTGGATAGTTCGGAAGGGATAGCTCGCTATTCAACGCATCAGCATTTCCACCCTACATATATTCGTCGCATACTCTCTACTGTGGCATTGAACTGAACGACAACTGCTGTATTTATCAGCTCCCTTTCAGAACCAGTTTTTGCCGCGATAAATATAGGCCATCGTGCCACCATGCCGCAGCCAAAGCAGCACTAGGTCCGCCACAATTGCCGCGACAGCTTTTCTGTTGTAACTCCACCTGCGCAGCCGCCTCCCTGAAGCATCCCTCCGCGGGATGCACGCTCCCTTCCAGTGAGATGCAGCGATCACCTGCCTTAGGTCCCATCAATCAACACTGGGCTAAGCGCCTCAAGGAACGATATGGAGACCCGCGAACGGCCCAACAGGATATGAGCTTCAGTCCAGCCTATGTAGAGACCCATAATGTGGGCGTAGACAGGGACCACAGGAAAGACAGCGTGGCCCCGTTTTGGGGCGCTGATGAGAAGACCAGCGCTGAGCTCGGTCACCAGCGGAAGTCGGAACTGGGCGGAACGACCGGCCGATTAGCGACCTACCGACCGACAGCGTGGGGTGGGGGACGGGGTGTCCGGTCAGCTACAGTCATGCAGGAAGCGAGATCTGGTGATTCATAGCTGAGTTCTGTGGGTCTGTGAGTAAATAAAAAAAATGACAAGGCGTGCTTGTTGTATCACATAGTTTGTCGCTATACCTACATGGAAGTCTCCGTGTACACTGTCCGTATGTAAATTTTCATGCCAACTATCTGGCATGTCCGTGTTTATGTTTCCACATTTACTATTTATGTGTCCATAAATATGAGTCCGTCAGTCGTCATTATATGTGCCCGTGAATCAGTGCCTGTTTGTCTGTGTCCGTGAATCAATGTTCATTCCTCCATGTTCATATTTCTACGTCCGTGTTTCCACAGCCATGTATCCGTATCCGTCGATATGCCCGTGCGTCAACCGTGTGTCCGAGTAAACGTTATCAGTCATCATGTATCCGTATGTCCGTGTATCCGTATCCGTGTACCCATGTGTCCATGTGCCCGTATCCGTGTATCTGTAGCCGTGTATCTGTATCCGTATCCGTGTACCCATGTGTCCGTGTGTCCGTATCCGTGTCCGTGTGTCCGTGTCGGCGCCGCACCAGTGCGTGGCTGCGGTCGGCGGCCGCGGGTCCGTCTCCGACCAACTCAGCCGCTGGTGAAAGCGGGACCGGTGTTCCCAGCAGCCGAGGGAACACAGCCGCTGCCGCTGCCGCTGACCGGTGCCTGGCCGGTGGACGGCAGCCAAGATCAACTTCTGACCTAGGCGGAAAGGCCTGGAGCGATCACACTGCGCAGTGCAAAGTGCACAGTGCATAGGCAGTGAGGGGAGAGACAGAGGTGGGGAGGGGCGTTCTAGAGACCTGCGACTGTGTGTCTAAGCCTGTGCTGGGGGTGAAGAATGAAGAGCTTTGGCCTTGAGGGCTGAGACTGGGATGAACCATGAGTTGAGATATACATTCTGGGCTATGAAGGGTTCTCACAATCAGTTTATGTATGGTATCACACATCGATAAGGCATCGAGTGTTTCGCCAGTGCCGCCAATGAAAGAAATTAAATTCAGTACCTAAATTAGTTCAGCAATTAAAAGCAGCCATCACAAGGATAAGTAGGTAAATGATAAGCCCACCGCACGGTTGGACATCGTTAGAGAGGCGCGAAATACGAGAAGGTACACATCGAGTGCAGAGCTCGCGGTGAAGGTAAGGGACCGAGCCTGCAACAGCAACCGTTAGCAATGGTGGACCCAGGCAGAATCTATGGCGACTGCCCCCGCCCCCAGCAGCTCCCGACGTCGAGGAAAAGTTACCTTACCTTTTTGCCTATAATAGAAATAACTTAACTTTTATAAGGAAACGTAAGTATAAAACTGCACAGCAGAGCACAATGAATTAAATTCTGAGCCATTAAAATTTGGATTTTTTGGGGGGCATCCCCCCTGCAGAGTCTAGCTTCCCAGACCACCTCCCTGGATCTGCCAGTGACCATCAGCATCGACACGAAGACGAGAGCATCTCTGCCCTCTCATCTCTGCCCTCTGGTGACGACACGCCGGGCGCGACTGTTTATAGTTCGCATAAATAGACAACGCTCCACAGGAAATCAAAGAGTTCACCGGGACTTTGTAAGGAGGAAGAAATGTAACCGTGATAGGCAATTTCCTTTTTACGAAAAATAAACCCCCTTCTGGTATCTAGGAAAAGTAAAAGCGAGCTCAGTCGTGTCGAACGACTTACGAGCGCAGAGACCGGCTACGGGGCACCCCCCCCCCCCCCCACACACACACACACACACACTACAAGTCACAGGTCATGGAAAGGTCACACTGGTGCCCCTACCTGAGCTGGAGCAGGTCCACAGCAGGGTAGTTCAACACGACTAGAGGCTGACAGGCGCGTTCACAGCGGGCGAAACACGAGTGGCCCCGAGCACCAACTCACGACCCGACCACCTCTGCCAACGCCCACCGACAGACTGAATCAGCTGAGCGCCGGGCTCCCTGCGCATGCGCATCACGTGGCGGTGACGTAGAGCAGCGGCGCCCCGGGCGCCGGCACTCGGTGGTCTTCAAATCCGGGGCGCCCGGCGCCCACTTGGGCGAGCTGGTGTAGAAAACACCCATCGAATATGAAACTATAAATCCATGGGCGTTGGAAGGGGGGAGGCCGTCACCCACTTTTCAGCCATTTTTTAAGGCAAAATCTTTATTTTTTACTTAAATGCAAAACTAAGAACAGGAAATGGTTCAGCAAGGTGAGATAAGGTTACAAAACTGCAAAGAATTTCTTCATAGGGGTGTAGCGGCTCCTACAAAGTGACATTAAAGTTTCGCTGCCCTCCCCCCCCCCACTTTTCGTGAGGTTCCTTCGCCCATGTATGAATTGTAGCAATCGTTGCAGCTTTGTTTTTGTTGCACTATATAGAAACACCGAAAGTACTTAGTTAATTTTTAAGCTACGCTAATAAAACTCTAAAAAAGTATTCGTCAATTTATAAACAACCTGCGGTCACAGCGACGGTATATTAGCAGTTGACTTAAAACAGCATCAAAAAGGCGTCACCAGGAAAATTTGATAGATGACGTAACATTTGATAAGTCTGAAATGTTCAGCTCTGAACGGTCAGTTGTTCTTCATTTATTTCGAAGTCACTCTTTCAAACCTTATTGCCCGACAAACAAGTTTTTATCGCATGTAGGTATGTAATCCGAACATCATGAGAGCCAAGTAATGACACTATATTGATGAAGGTCATAACCTCCTACATATTTTTTTCGGTCTTTCGTATTGGGAATCCATCTTTTAAACTGTGACAGTTTGGTCAACTTCTCGTTATAAACTATGCATGCATACATCTCAAACATCTTCCCAGGACCATTAGTTGCCGCTAGACTAAAACCAAACGTTCCAAACCATTTCTCCTGTCTCTTGATATTCCCACTCACTTTTTGACTTTTTAGCGTCGATAAAAAAGGTGATAGGTATGGCTGATAGGAGTGATAGCTGATAGTAGTAGCCAGTAGCCTGGCTGAAAGCTGAGAAGTTCTGTCATGAATCTGTAATTTATTCATCCAGCTTTCCGCAAAAGTTAGAAAATAAGCTGTTTAGGTGTATAGAAAAACTGCTATTTGTTTCGAATTAAACACGGAAGATGCCGCCATCACTATTATGGCGCACGTGCATTGGACTATTTTGTGACATTTGACATTTATTTCATTCCTGATAATTGTTGCGTCATTCGGCCTTGCGTCAGACCCAGTCAGACCCATACATGTCCTACACAAGGCCGTCCTACACTTCATTGTGTTTTCTCAAAAGCGCGCTGGGCTGATGACAGCTGGTTTTGTTGTGTCATTTATATTTCTTCGCATATAGATGATAGACGGCAGACACAACATGCTGTACCTTTGTCTTTTTGATAGACCGTTTGCATCTTACGGAGTCCAGTCAGCATCGATCAAGATGACAGCTTAACGCAGCTTTCAGGTAAGTCAGTGTCTGAATGAACTGGCAAATGTAAATTAATGCTGAATTCTTTAAATCATATAACATTTTGTATTTCCTATGCATGACTGCTCACAACAATAAAGAAATGCGTGAGTCTTGTTTCAGAACTAGTATTGAAACACATTAGGATCAATCATCCATCCAAATACCAACCAGAAATGAAAGTTTCTGTTACCCCTATTAATAATTTATTTTCCAGTCATCATCGAGATGGTTTGCATCGATAGTTCATTTTAACATAAATCAAATTATACCTATTACCTATTATACCAAAACCCACAGAGTTTTAGAGTATCTACTGTTCCAAATTGTTGTACATTTTAGCGTTCGCTCGAAAATCCAAGGAGACGTTGATAACACATGAATGTAAAATTTCATACGACCAAAATTACCTTAAATTGCGCACGCTGCTGCTGTATTTGAAGATCGGGATAAGCTTAGAAGGTGCGCTACTCTTCAGGGGCAACCTCACACACAAATGCGACATTTCCGTCAAAGCATCCCAGGCCCAGCTTCACCTCATCCGGTCTGACAACCACACACCCACTGGTGCCACCCTGCGGTCCAGCCGTCCCCTCCAGCTCCGCTGGCGCGGTAACCGAGCTGTCTTCGGTCTCAAATCGATCACCTTTGTCGACGAATCTTGTGAATATTTGAGGAGAGAATTCTCCCACCGTGATGTCCACTAGACACTGCAGTTGTGCTTGTGTAGATGGAGCGGGAAACTGCTCTCCTGTTCTGTTACAATATGATCCTGAAGCATCCTGACTGTCTTCGGCAAAAGAGTCTCCATAGCAAGCGCCGTCACATGCAGTATAATTTGCGGGGCAGGTGACCTGAAAAGAAAAGGGCAATGTCAGAGGGCACCAAAGGATCTGGGCCGAACTATATAGTGCCTTTTGTTTATAAACTGGAAGTACTGCCTACTGGAATTGAAAGCAACTGAACAGAACTGAACTGAAAACCCTGGAACTGAACTGACCGAGAGCCCATGGCGCTGGACATCATATTAAACTTAGAACACATGAGCTGAACTGAACTGGAACCGAACTAAAGGTTGTCGGGCTTGACTCGAGCTGAAAATTTTGAACTGAACTGAAATACGGGGGGGGGGTTATAAAAAAGCGATACGGTGAAGAGTCGTTATAACTCGAAAAGCGATTACGCTAGGGAAATAATAATACGTTATTTAAAAGAGAATTGTTGAAAGTTTTTATGGTACGTCGGTTCTTATTGTCGGGCACGTGCCACGTACAAACATCTCGTGCCCAAAAATCTCACTTTTAAGTTGGCAAACTTGATCTCTTCATCCAGCGTCATTTGGCGCTATGAATCAGTTGACAGACGAGCAAAAGTTTCAATGCTGCCATTGGTTTGATGATTTGATCAATTTTAATCTCCCATTCTCGAAAAAAAGACTCTTCCGGAAAACATTTCATTAAAATTTAAAATTCCCCATCGTCATGGGCTTGCCAACTTTGTAAAAAATATCTATTTTCGGGCACGAGATGTTTGCACGAGGCATGGCCATAATTCGTGCCGGACAAAAAAAAAAATGGCGTACCATAAAAATCTTTCAACAATTCTCTTCTGAATGACACATTCATAATTCTCCTAGTACAATTACTTTCCGAAATATAACGACTCTTTATTGTCTCGTTTTTTTTTTTAACACCCTGTAGAACGTGTAGATGGATTACGCCTGAATTCAGCTAAAGGTTCGGGATCGGAACCGAACTGATGTTGGATCAACTTTTACGCTGATGGAGTCATTGATAGTTTTTCTCCTTGCTACCTTGTTAACATTGTCATGCAGTATGCATTACCTTTGATGCCTGATGCATCAAAATAATAAACAAGGAAAACTACGCTCTGAAGTAGTCAATGTTTTACTAAAGAACATCTTACATACCTATTTCTTTTAAATTAAGCAGACATGTTTCTCATTTTCCAATTTGATTGATGACACATGAGGCTGTTGGCCACAGCACACACAAGAGGAAAGTGAGGAGAGTAGCTATTATCCCGCACCGTAGACAGCGTTTACAATTGCTTCACGTGCAAAGAGAGAAAATTATCTGAGGCCTCTTGGACCAAAACCCTCTTGCACCAATGCTTGGATTATTTTGCATCGTATACCCAGTCCAAGTTTCAAATGTAACAATTTGTGTGCAAAATTTAGCAAGCACATGTAGGACTATGTATTGGGCTATTGCAAACAAATTTACCACCGTTAGATTAGCTTATTCTGAAACCGGTTTTTCGATTTTACCTAGCTAGGTAGTTTGGTGCAAGATGCCTCAGATGTCGTATAACTGATTTGGTAAACGTCTAGACGATTAACGAACAAATGTCTAGTAGACATTTCGTCTAGTCTGAAATGTGTCGTATTTATTATATAAAATGTATTTTTTACCTTTTAGCGCACGAAAGATATCGGCGGTGCGTGTTAAAGGGACTATCCCACCTTCTAAAATGTTGTTGAAACCAGTTAAATTGTGCCCGACTTTATAGATTGGATGACCAGGAACACGGTTCTGGCATTTATTTTTCATTAAACATCTTAGGCTTCCCATATTCCAAACACAAACTTTCAAATATGTGACGTCACAGCCCAAAATTACCTCCTTCCCCAGGCCACATTACTGTCATAAAGCTGATTCTTTTTACTCTGTAGGCACCACAACAAAGTTCAGACCAAGTTTTAAGCGATTTTTCAACGAACAAACCCATTTAAATCAGAATGACTAAGCGAGGTGACGTCACACTAACGGTCGCTCCATGTTGAAGATAGGGCCTTGTACAAGGCCCATTTTCAAATGAAGGGAACGAATTTCTTCAACACCAAGAGGCCGCGGGGGTTGCAACCTAGATAGATAGTGGTTTCTGAACCTCGCCGCAAACTTGGCTATCTCAACTCAAACCCCATGTTAAAGGTGGGATAGTCCCTTTAAAACTATCAAACCGCTCGTAGGTAGAAAAATCTTTTAAACGTCTCGCCTATATCGGCTCGACGTTTAAAAGATTTGTTCTACCTACTCACGGTTTAATATAAATTCTACCACGTGTTTTATCATACCTTTGGACCGGCAGGACCCGAGCCGCCGCAGTGTCTGTTTCCGTTGTTTCCGCGCCCTCTGCACAAACCAAATCCTCTTCCACGTCCAGGTCGATGGCCGTTTACTGCTGAATTCAGAATTAAACACAAAATAGCAAAGGCTAGTGCGATTCCTAGTCTCATTTCAGAAAAATAACTGGCCAATCCTTATTGTGAGGCGCAGACTGTATCACACCGCTGCTTTGAGCTAAGCGTGATGGTCAGACTGACTAAATGTAACTGCTCTGGCCTCACAGTAACAGCTCGGTTTTATATAGTCCTGCAGGGTGGAAACATCTGCTATGTTACAGTGACACCCAATGTGCGATTTGCATTATGTGCCCGTTATCTATATCTACGCACTTTCAATGGAATTTAACTGCATGAATTTAACAACGGAGCTTATGTAACTGAACCGTGCAAACCATTAAACCATTAAACAATTGCCTGAGTTCGGAGTCGGAGCGACCATTTATCGTTTTACCATCATTGTATTTAATTACTGCGTCAGCCTGCCATATCTGTGCTAGCTCTCCCTCAGAGAGAAGAGAGAAGAGTCCCTTCCCCCTCTCCCTCTCTCTCTCTCTCTTTCTCTCTCTCTCTCTCTCTCTCTCTCTCTCTCTCTCTCTCTCTCTCTCTCTCTCTCTCTCTCTCTCTCTCTCTCTCTCTCTCTCTTCTCATTTACTGTGAATGCATGAAATTAAGAAGCAGCATTAGTCCAGGTCGATCTGATCCCGGTCCGGGTCCGTCCCGTAGCTCAGTCGGTAGAGCGTTGTACCTCGCGTGGTGAAAGCACGCGCTCCCGGCTACAACAGTCCGGGTTCGAAGCGCGATGGACGCTCGGTGTTTATTAGCCTCCTGACGGCACGGGTATGGTTACGATTGGTGGGAGGCTGTAGCTAGGCGAAGTCAGTGAGGGGACCGGCCGTGCGCGGCTATGTGCGCACGTTTTAAACTTTGGACTCTAAATTCTGCCATAGAGCCGGAATTGCGCGATCGGAAGGTAGAGGGCAGAATCAACGCAACAACCGTTGCTTAGCGGGGGATCTGTCCTTGTGAATCCTTCCAATCAAAAGGTTCGGACTAAATTTATATAACGAAACATTACGATGCATTTTCTATAAGCAAAGTTCGTGTTTAAGGAAATATACAGCTTTTAACATTGGGTTTTATTTTAAACTGTAATAGCGATTTTGTAGGCTGGGCTGAGACTAGCACAATTCTGAAGCTTTAACCCGCGCCCCGTTGGGCTCTGCCGAGCAACGCGCCCGGTTGGGGGGGGCCATTTTGGCCCCCCCCTAAGATCTCGAGAACCACGCAACATAGCGACAAGCGGTAAACGGCGTTGGATAGCCCCAACGGGGAGCTACCTTGTGACCCAATTTTATTGACCTAGGTCAAACCGATGACGTCACAGGTCAGGTCAAAGGTCCAATTTTCACCGTTTACAGGCACTTCAAGAAATGCGTTGTAAAATCGAGTAAAATGCATCTCATTGAAAATCATCGATGGGGAAATGTTCTTCAAACACATATTTTGCTATTTGAGGTCACTGATACCAGGTCAGGTCACAGAGGTCAGGTCACGGGGGGGTCACAATATGAAAGTGTCGTGTGATACATGTTTTATGGTCCATTTTACATGACAAATGCGATTATATGGGTCAGGCAGCCTTTGGGGCCAGCTTAGATCACGTTTTGGTCAAGGTCAGGTCAAGGTCAGGTCAAATTAGGTCAAATTTCAAAGTTGATATTTTTGCATAAAATGGGTATCGAATCGATGCAGCTCGTCACGGGGAGTTCAATGGTGGTCTTTGTTTTGCCGTACGTGGTCTAGAATCGCTAAAAATTGAGTTCAAAAATTTGACGTCATCATTTTTGAA